AGAAATGTTTAAAGACCCGTCAAATGAGCTTGATGAGCTCATTTTCGTTCCTACTGAAATAAGCAGAAGAGGGGCATTTTCATTCTAGCAGCATCATATCAGACAAAATTAGGGCATAAATAATTTTGCGCTGTTTTCTCAGAAGGGAAAGATTGTAAAGACTGTTAAAATTTCATTTTTATCAACATTTAGATCAAAAATGACCAATCAAAACTTTGGGGTCGGTAAGTCTCTTATGAATACCAGAAGGCTGCATTTATTTGATCAAAATACAGTAAAAATGGTAATATTGTTAAATATTATTCAAATTTAAAACAACAAATGTAGCTATATTTTAATAGAATTTTAAATGTAATTTATTCTTGTCATGCCAAAGATAAATTTTCCACAGCTAATATTTCAGTCTTCAGTGTCACATGATCATTCAGAAATCATTTTAATATGCTGATTTGGTTCTCAAGACACATTTCTTATTATTACTTCTTATTATGTTAAAAACAGTTATGAAGCTTAATATTAATATACAGTATTAATGTGAAATACAAATTGTAAAAAAAAAATTATGTGGCCTTTCTGAATAAAATAATTTCTAATCACTAATCTCCTAAAAAATCCTACGCATCCCAAACTTTTGAATGGCAGTGTATGTTTTTAAAGCTAATAGACATGGACGAAAAGCCACCAAAAAAAACACCTCTCGTTACTCATCTCACCATAATGGAAAGGTTCTTTTCTTGTCACGTCCCATTCGGTTTCTGTTGATAGTGGTGGAACAAGGCACTGCGTCTAAGTGGTGGGAGCTGTTGGGCAGGGTGGGCACCCACTGACTGTTTCTCTTCGCCTTTTGCTCCCTAAGTTCACATACAGAGTTACAACAAACTTGAAAAGAATCTTTTTAGGCTACATACATAGTACGCAAATAGTTTCACACTGGCCAAAAAAAGAAAGAAGCTAAAATAGTCCTTGAATTAAATGGAAACAAAAAAGTCACTCAAAAGTATTTTAAAACAAGAAATTATCTTCATCTAAATAATTTATACCTAGATCAAGAGATTATATAGAATACACTGTTCAAAAATTTATATTAAAAAAAATGTCAGTGCCATTTACAAAACAGCTTGGAAGTGTCCATATATGTAATAAAAACAGCCCTACTACATTGTGCTGTACTTATTATATTTTTTATTATTTTCTTGTTTTGCATTTTGACTTCTATATAACATCAACGCAAATCACCGGGCTCCTTACCTGAGGTATGCCGGAGGCTCTGTGCTGATGGACACTGCCTTGTACTTCTCATCATTCCCCTCGAAGATCTCCTCACATTCAGACGCCTTCAGCAGGGTCACACTGGTGGCTAAATTTGTGTAACCGTGATCTAACACAAAAAGAACACTGCACAAACTGCTGTCCAGAAGCAGGACTAGTAGACTATGACAAGGAACTAAGACAATTTAAAAGGAAAGGAATCACTTACCGTGTGATGATGCTACAATCTTTTTCCTCTCCTCCACGGATGCGAGACGTCTCCATAGTGACGGGTACCGCTTATACAGAGAGCCTCTGAACATACGCAGGTAGTTACCAACCTAAACAGCAAGATTAAGCAAAGATGAAAAAAAAAATCTTAAAACCAATGTGATTTTTTTTTCCTAAGCACTGGACACTTTTGAGATTTTGGGCTTTTTTAAGTTTAGTTTCAGTTTTAAAAAAAGTCCTTTTGTCAGACTAGCGGATTTTAGTAGTAGTTTATTTTATTACACTTCATGTATTTGAACGTATCTATTCGCATTCATTTCAACACATATCTATAAAAGTAGTTTTCTTAAGATTACGTTTTTTTTTTTTTTTGATCCTGCATTAAATCACAAATATATACCTCTGTGGCACTTACAAACAGCAAACTTTATAACTGTATTCCTGTCTATATTCTGAAGGTTTTTACAGAGAGGTTTGTTCATATATTATTTAACTGGTTTATATAAGATTTAACTCCTAAAAACATGGGGATTTTTTGACAGCATTTTCAGATTTATGGAATGATAAAAGCAGATAAAAAAAAAAACATTGTGAAAACCGTTAACGCTAAAAAACTATATATAAACAAAAACTACTAAAAATGACATGCAACAAATTTGCTAAAATTTTAACTAAAATTTAATTTAAACATTCAAACTGATTCAAAATTGGTATAGACACTACAGTACTATCTCAGTGATCTCAGTCTAACGGTGATGTGTAAAATTGAGTAAGAAAGAATATTACCTTGATTAGTTTGAGTTTTGTACACTGAGTTAGATCTTGGAGACACTATGGTGCTATAATTGAGTGTTTCTGCAAAGTGAAGCAAGCCCCGAGTGAAAGTCAATTAATAAAGGAAATCATAATTTTACAAGAGTGCTCCTCTTAGATAGTTTCACTTTAGAGATTCAAACATAGTGGAAGATAATAGAAAAGACAGAACTGAGCCTCAGAGGAACAAGAAACCTCAATCTCATTATATGCGTTTCTTTACTTAGCCGGTCTTTGGAATTGCAAGCAATTTGCTCTCATACTGGTCTGTAATCCTAATGAAATGATGGGATAATCCCACAGATCTAAAGCAGTTTTTACACTTCATTGCCTGTTGGAAAAGCAGGTACCTTTATCCGCAGTGGCTTAGTCATGGCTTATGAATGATACATCTTTGCTTTTCTATATTTAGGGGAGTTAAACACTAACCACCAAAATGCAAATGACACTTTATTGATAAGCTTCATTAGCATCTGTATTCTTAAATACATTTTGTCCGGTTTAGATACTACTGTCTTTTTCCTGCTATGAACACTAGATGGCAATCTTGTATTAATGTTCCTCAACCCAAACTCGTGTGCTTTTTTGCTTTCATAACATTGAGATGGTTTTCAATGTGACTGTGCTGGAGTCTGTAAGTTAATTATTTTCACTGGTCCGTCAGCCCTTAGTCACTTTTTAAGTCTGTATGTCTGCTCAGTTTGAACGTTTTTATGTTTGAGAATAATTCAGTCAAAAAAAGTGTCTCAAAGCATCCAAGGCCAACAGAGAACTGCAAAATAAGCAATGAAATAAAATGCAGGCACATTACATATTTCTCACATACAGGTGACCTCCTGTTGTCACTTTTGCGATACTGTGTGTGTTTTGCGGCATTTTTAAAAATGCATCTTTCCTGAATATGTTATATTTATATTTATAGTTATATTTAAAGAATATGTTACTTTAGGTTTGTAAGTGCATATTCATCTGAAGGAAATATATATATATTTTTCAGTATGTCTGGTCTAGTCTTTGCATTATTGACACTATTTTCCTAATTAATGCTGTTCAGTTGCTTTGTCACAATCTGTATTGTTAAAAGCGCTATATAAATAAAGGTGACTTGACTTGACTTGACTCTGGTCATAATCCAGCACTCGCGCCGGCCATAAACTTAACAATGCCCACAGGACTTCCAGTTCATTCAATATTGCAGACATAAAAACCTGTCTTCCTGAAAGGAATTATTATGATGGATTCCTGACATAATAATTTAGTTCACATATGGACATGCGGTACTTGGACCAGGCTCCATGCACACTGGGTTGATTGTTTCTGACCCTGCAGAAAGCTTTTATTCTTTATTAGAGAGATACATTAGTGTGCTGGCAAGCATTTTCAAGTTGAAAAAAAAAGAAAGAAAGAAAGAAAAGACAGCAGGACCAGGAATCTTCCAGTGGGAACTACATGTCTGAGAACACACTGAAAATGTGGCATTCAAAATCACATAAATCTGAGGGAAAACAGAAAGTTTAAGGATAAAAAAATGAAACAAATGAAAACAAAGAAATATTATGACAAAAGAGATATTTCAGATTCTGCTCTGAGGTAATCAAATAAGCACGTTTGTGACACTGATCACGTGAACTTCTTGGTACAGACAATTAGATGTTCCATTTAACCACAAGATGCTCTTTGGATCATCTCAAATCATTGTGGAGAACATTTTCATCCAATTTTTACACAAACTTGTTGAGTTCGTAGCTCGAGTGCTGCTGACATTGAAGCGAAAGGCTGACAAACCAGATAAAGTTGCAGTCACATCAGCGAAATCTTAGAAATAAAAGGGGGTTTTCAGGTCAATGACATAGAAGAATCAACTTAGGTTCTCTAAAGAACATTCTGAAGAAAAGTTCTAAAAATAACCATTGTTTTTTGCACTTTCCACTATAAAGTACCTTTTGGGCAATGGAAAGGTTCCGTTGATGTGAAAGGTTCTTCATGGAACCATTGATTCCAATTAAGAACCTTTCTTTTTGAGAGTGTTTGTTGAAATTTTGCAGATGGTCAATATTCTTAATAGTGTAGCAATATATGATGCACAGCTTACTTTCAATCACTTTCAAGTCAAACCAAGCAGCTTTCTGTTGGTGACCAACTTGAAACCATTGTGAAATCTGTGTGGGGAAATGTAAAACAATAGTACATTTGACCAGACATTAAGAAGTTATGTTTCAGTCAAATTGCTAACCTGATCAAATAAAATGCATAGAAAACATTGTATTAAATCAGAAAAAAATTAATTGCAAGCATAGTGAGCTCAGATTTACGAAGCCTATGTGTGTGTGTGTGTGTGTGTGTATATATATATATATATATATATATATATATATATATATATATATATATATATATATATATATATACGTATATATATATTGAATGTGGTATAGTAATTACTCCTTTGGTACAATCGTTTGAAATAACCTGCATTTTAATCTTGTGACACATTAATTAGTGGTCAGCTCCATTCTCTCCGTCAACATGACTGTCCCTCATGGTCGTTCACTAATTGAACACCAGGGTGGAGTTATGTATATTCAAAGTTCAATTATAACAATGACATATTGCTTTTTGCCTTGCGCATGGGAGTTATTAAAGCTAAAATTATGCATGCAAGGCTTTTCGTGCTTTTTCTGAAATGTCAGTTGCTTTTCTTTGAAAGCCAGATGGGATTACAGCCTTAGTGTAGTTTAGTGTAGGTGCAAACATCAAATCTCATAAACGTCCATGAAGTGAAAAATCAATAATACTTCTGCCCCTTCCCATGATATCATCTGTGTAAATTTCCAAAGCCTGATCTTGCTGACACTCTGAAGATGGACCTGGAAACCCGCCAGAAGTCTTCTTTACTCCTCTTTCCTCTGTTCCTTTCTTTTCTAGTTCCATTTTTGTCAGTGTTTTGGCCTACTACACCATTCACTTCTCAGCTCGACTCTTTAGCATTTTAGACAGCTGTGAGCTGCTATCCTTTTCTCTGCCGATTCCCGGTAATCGATTTTCTGTGCTACAGTTTGTGTGCTTCTATTGAGTGTAAGTGGATATCCGAATGCATTTCAAACCTGCCATGAGAACTGTTGAGTAGAATTTTCTATTTAGAATTAAAGGTACTAGTTAATTATCAATGAAACAGATTTAATTTAGAAATTTATATATAGCTTTTCTATATATTTTACCCCTAATATTGGAATGTTTGGGTTTGATTTGAACATCGAAATGTGACTAAATGCTACTCAGGAACCCATCCAGAAGATTATGATTATGTTTTTAATTACAACTGCCAGTGATTGATGCATTGTTGTCATGAGTGCAGCTGAGCATACAAGGCATGAATTTTAAGAGAGAGTGAGAGCATGACAAAAAGTAAGAGAAGCAAGAGAGGCAGACACTTTAATATGTCATTTGGGATGGTTCACATTCAAGTGACTCTTTAGTAGTAAAAATGATTCCTTGCCTTATCCTGATGATGCCGCTTCAAATCCCGGTGTAATTCCACTGAAGATGTGTTGAACCTCTCACTGATGAGAATGAGACAAAATTGCATGAGCTGATAGACCATAAGAGGACAGTTCCTTTACAAATGTCACTATTAAGGGGATCGTTCACTCAGAATGAAAATGTTCCTATTTATTCCTTCACACACCGTTCCGAACATGTGTGACTTTCTTTCTGCAGTGGAATGCAAAAGAAGATGCTTTGCAGAATGCTCACTCTGCTCTTTTCTATCTATCTATCTATCTATCTATCTATCTATCTATCTATCTATCTATCTATCTATCTATCTATCTATCTATCTATCTATCTATCTATCTATCTATCTATCTATCTATCTATCTATTTTTAATTTTGGGGAAAACAAATAAGCATGTATGCATTAAAACAAATGTGTTCCATGCTGAGTCTAGAACTGTTTACAAATATGAATGCAGAACAGAAGCAATAAACCACCCACAAGTAACGGCCCGTGGCAATGGAAAGTTGGTATAAACACCCTTAAGAATTGATTTGGAGCAGTGGGTTTTATTTTCATTTATGCTAATTACTTCAAGCTTGGTTGCAAAACAACTTTTCCATTGTTTATTTAGTAGCATGCAAAATAATGTTGCACCATGCTTGTTTTCCTTTATTATTAACGTATTTATGCAATTATGATAAAAAAATTATTTTATTCATAGGTTGGACAATTGCCCTGAGGTTTCACATGAAAAAGCACAGCTGATGCCCTCCAGATATTGTGTAACGCTGCTAGATCGAGTTGATTGCATTTACATTTTTCATGTTTTTTTCCTAAGATCAGCACAAAAATGCTTGCAGATGAATGAGCAGATACATATCAGACAGATACATGAGACTATGCTGTACTTTTGTATGCTAAATCTTTAGATTATAACAAACACACACAGAGCTTTATGAATGTTTCACTTGCCAAATCCACTCGCACTACTGTCATGTTTCTGACAATCCTGTCTTTCCACAGCTTTACTGAGCACAATCCACAGGATGAGGATGGGATTTTCATCAAATGTTTCCGACTAACTCAAATAGACAAGAGTGTGCTCAGAGTCTGATCCTTCTATATACATTCAAATCACAACTTTAAACGCTTCAATTCAATTTCAAATAGACATCCCTGAGAGTAAAAAAGGGGGTTTAAATCATTGGATATCTCTGAGGAGTGAAGCTAGGAATCAAACAAACAATCAGCTTTTTGCAGTTGGGAGTCATCAGGGAAAATAGCTGCCCCATCATGTTTGCTCTCGTTCTTAGGTGTATACGGTTGACGTTTGGATGAACAACAAGAGTGAAGGTTACACAGAGCTTTGCCAAAAGCTTCTAAAATGCATGCATTTAGTGAAATGTCAGCTTTGGATGGCGGAAACAAATAAAAAATGAATTCACAGCATGCCCAGTACCGCTCCACACAGGCCTGATTCTGCTTGAAGAAGGTTTTTAATACTTACATTTACATTATACATTATACATTTACATTTGGCAGACACTTTTTATCCAAACCAACTTGAATATTGCATTCAAGGCACACATTTACATTTGAACAGTTCTCATTTTTCCTGGAAATCTAACCCCCATGACCTTGATGCTGCTAGTGCTGTTCTCTATTGTTTGCGCTACATGAACGCCTGGAGAAAGCAAAAATGTAAAAAAAATTCTATTTAGTATGGTGCTATATTTTCTGTTAATTATTTTACATGGAAAAATGCATTTTTTTTTTAGAATATACTGATAGAAATGTAGAATTTCCATCAAGTTTTTTGGCTGCATAAAAAAAAATATTTGGCTGCTAATGTAGATTAAACAGCATAACATGGAGCTAGCAAGATCATGGGTTTAATTCCCAGATAATGTATGACCTGATAAAAAATATAACTTGTATGTGATCTGTTTTTGAATTAAATTGTTTTCCAAATGCATAATGATGCAATTCTGGAATGTTCCAGCAGGGGCAGCTGATGTTAATCAGCTGAACTTCGACCTTTAGTGACATCTTCACTGGAGGACCTTATCAGTTGCTTCTAAAAATGTAATTGTTTTTTTATTGATTTTTTACTGAATCTCTTGCTGCTGCCTTATACTCCCTGCCTTTCGTTTTTGGAATCAATCCTAATTTCCTTCTGGGAAGCATCCAATTCATCTGTCAAGAATGCATTGGGTTCTGAAAGGGGAACGATGGGGTCTGTACCTAGCAGTGGGAGGCCGTCAGAGGCGGACTTCATCTTGACTATTTGCTACCCTTAGTATCCTTCCCATGCATAACACTCTGCTGAGATATATCTGCCTGAGGTTTGAACAGCGAGTGGCTCTGTTTACCTGAGTTGATTGGCACCGTGAAAATGAAATGTTAATCTAGGCAGCGCTCATCATTCTGCCGTGTCTAAAAGCATGAAGCCATGCCAGAGTTCGCACCGACTCCGCTGTGGACTTGGAAACCATTAGCGTGATTACATTGGAAAAAAATCCTTCCTTTCCCGAAAGACCCTCTGCCAAATGGCATAAAACTCTAATTCTATGCTGCACACTACAATGAACAAAAGATACTAGAGGGCTTGTGTGTATAGCACGGGTACACTGCTATGCATAAGCATACTGTGCTACTAAATTGCAGTTATTTTGTCATTCAGAACCATTTTCTTAAAACAAATACACACAGGCTCAATGAAAAAACATGCCTCTACATTTTTGCAAAATGTATATAGATACAATTCACTTCAGTTTCCAGCTGAAATGATCACTAATGGCAGTAAAACACCAACAACATTTAATTCTTTACACACAAATGATAATTACAATGCCCTAATATTCATGATTAAATATTTATTTTCACATAAATCCTTGCACAATACTATTACATGACCTTAAAACACTTTTACCATAGTGCAACCATTTGCATCACATAATAAGTTCCATAAGTATTGCTTTTCAGACATAGTACACTTGCTCGTTAACTCACCTGGTACACTTACGATGCCGAGCGCTTGGGTACGAGGCCCGTGAAGCACGAGTCAGTATTGACAAAAGAGCTCAAAAACTTGTAGAAGCAAACTAAAACAGCATGGTTGCTTCAGCAAATGCATTTTTATCTCACGTTTGCTCTTGTTAACACTATCGGTTAAGTTTAGGGAAGGGTTTATTTAACAATATGTGGTGTTATTTCAACCGCAATACACTCACTGGACTTTTAACTTTGAAGGTGCCGCAATGCATACTAAAACCAACATAGTAAAATGTTGTCATTCATATTATTTTTTGGATGAAACTGAATGGTTTAAGCACCAATCACTGGTCATTTCACCCTGAAAGTGCCTTAAAATATGCAAAGACCAAAATAATTAAATATTGCCATTCACATGAATCTTTTTCAGATAAAATCTAATGTGATTTTAGTAACATTCACTGGACATTTAAAGGGATAGTTCACCCAAAAATGAAAATTCTATCATCATTTACTCACCCTCCACTTGTTCCAAACCTGAGTTTTTTTCTTCTGTTGAACACAAAAGAAGATATTTTAAAGAATGTTGGTAACCAAACAGTTGACGGTAGCCATTGACTTCCATAGTATGGGAAAATACTATGAAAGTCAATAGCTACCATCAAATTGAGGGATGATAAGTTGACAGAATTTTCATTTTAGAATGAACAATCCCTTTAACTTTGAAGGTGCTGCGAAATGTGCAAAAACCAACAAATCATTTTGTAGAAATGTCAGCATAGCCATGTTTTTCCAGTTTAAAAAAAAGCTTCTTGACTTTCATTGGCACCCTCAAAAGCACATATTCACATTCTATGATGGCACCCAGCTCAGCCAGATTGATGCTGTTTGCCCTGCGTCTCCTCCCAGAATGAAATGTCTCTCTTCAGGATGGTTACAGGCTACTTTATGCGGTCTCACTCGTCCACCTGCAACACTCCTCCGTCATGCCAGAGTGCTAAGCTCCCCATTTCCAATGGTAATTTCACTTCTGATTCACGGTGCAGCTGTGATGGCTGCCCTACTTTGAAAAATGATGAGAGTAGAAGGGCTCTCGCAGAAAGGGCCCATTTTCCCTTTACACCTGGGCTCTGGCAAGCCCGATGACCCTTTGGAGATTCAATCGGTCACACATTGTTCTTTAAATGAGCCTCTTTGTCTCAGTACTCCATATAGTTTATCACATAGACTTGTCACATTCTGCCCAAACTCAGTCTTATTGAGGTCGAGGGGTTTTTGACAATAATGCTGATTAGTGTGGCCTGGACAAAACTATAGCACTTTTATTAAATAACAGGGTCCTGATTAGCTAATGAGGCTTCTAAGAGGTAAAAGAGGGACGATATTTCAGCAAAGGGCTAATGCTGGACAGCATTTGGCTCATTAGGAATGGATTAAAAAC